AAAAACATGCAATAAAAGGCAGTTATTTTCCATATAATGAATGTTAGGGGGGGTCGGCTTTTCTTTTTTTTTTATCACACACTTGGATATGTCAAAGATTAGCAACAACATTTATTTTGGTGGATTATTAGCTTTTGCACAGAATCAGATTAAACTAAAAACTCACACATTAGCCACTCNTATGGAAAATAACTGCCTTTTTTTGCATGTTTTTCATAGAAAACGCAAATTCATGTTTTCAAACTGGCAGTTCAAGGGTTAAAATCCTGAACATAATTTAACATTTGGTATTTTTGATCAGGACTGAAGTTGATTGAAAAATGTAACCCCAAAAAGTTTTAAAAAATATTAATCTGTTGTCATTTTTGTCCCGAATGACTAATATGTAACTTTTTTGTGCAATCTGATTTTGTACAAAAAATAATAATGCAAAAAAATCAATTTTGTTGCTAATCTTTGACATATCCAAGACGGTTATAAAAAAAAAAGAGCCAGTCACCAGATATGTATTTTTTGGAAAATAACTAATTTTCTCTGTTTTCGTCATGAAAAAACCCAGCAGTTTCATGTATTCAAAATGGCATTTAAAGGGTTAAAGTCCTGAAAATGATTACATTTTTGTTATTTTCTATTAGGGCGGAAGTTGCTTTAAAGATTGAACCCAAAAAAGTTGTGAAAAAACCTTTTAATATAATGTTTTTATCAAAGTCTTTTGCAGTGGACATTTTTGTCTCGAATGACTAATTTGCGTAGACCAATCGAATGATACCGGAGGGTTAAGGTTATTTTTGTATTTAAATGACAGTACCCAACTACCCATCTATCCAACATGGATATAGCTTATTTTTTTCGCCTTCAATTTTATAATACTTCCAAACTCTTGAAATTTTCTCTGTCCCGACTCCCGAGTCACCAGCTGAACGTAGCCTCTCGTTAGCTTACTGCTACTATTAGACACCGCGCCCTGCCCACTCTGTTNCTTTTGCACAGAATCAGATTAAACAAAAAACTCACACATTAGCCACTCGTGTCCCATCCACTCCCATTATAACCACATCTTTTGATCTCTCCGCCATACCGGTATAAAATCATGCATTTTGTAATGTCAGGGTTTTATATTGGAGGAAAATAGTTCAATTTGTCCTTTTTATTCTATATCACCAGATGTGACATTTTACCATTGAAATACATGCTTGGTTTCTTTGCCTGTTGTATAATGGGGTCCTGACAGCCATTGGAATACATGTATGCAACTCATATGATGTAGGTGTGTTGGTATGGATGTGACCCAGCTTGACCTCGATGTTTTGAATGGTTTGGAACTTCAAAGTCCTTTGATAATGTCTCTTTAGCAAACAGACATACACAATCATACATACACTCCTTGAAGTAAATAAAAACACCTGGCTGCAAAGCCAAAGCTTCAAATATGTGTAGTTTGGCTGGCTGGTCATTTCATTCCTGTGATACGCAACAAGCAGTAAGATGAAGAGGAGCTTCTCTGTGGGGCAAGAGGTCTCATGCAGCCCGTAACTTCAGCTGCTGGACTCA